TTGGAGAATGAAACATGTGCATATACAATCAACATTTTGTGAAGTTTTCTGGATTTGGGAAATACCAAACCTATATTGTGAGCCCATCAGTGACAAATAACCAAACTAATTCACTGTGTGTGCCTGTGGCCATGGGATGCACTGCCTATAGCTGCAAGTTTTGTCATGTTGTGTGATCATGCTAAGAGTTGAGTGCATATGTGCAGCCCAATCAGAGTGTAATCAATCATGTCTGACTTACTTATCAAAACTTACACTAGGCAATACAGTTAGATGCACTTGTTGAGCTGAGACTGTTAGCAGGGCCAATGTGTATAGCTCTTTATATACATTCACTCTGTGAGAACTAGTTTAAAAGTCACAGCATGATAATATTTGGTCACTTGGATACCAAGAATGAGAATATTTGTGCATTTATTGCCTTCCTGGCTTGGGGCTAAGTGCAGTTGCTCCTCCCCATAGCTCAGGATTGGCCCATTAGTACTATTAATTTATCTTTATATTCATGATACTTATTTATACAAACCTTGGAGCTCTGAGGTGCCCAATGGGTAAAGCATGAGAATAAGACTGTGAGTAGACATCAAGTCAATTGGGCTTTAGCATTCTGCAGCAATCAGTATATTTGCAAATGATACACAACTAAAGACAATATAGATAAAACTTGGGAGCAGTAGTCTGCATACGTCAGTCAGCACTTGCATTACCATCATTCATTGTGCAAATATGTCTTTCAACCATTAGCCAATAGATGTTACATATTATCATAAGTGGTATGAGTAGAGTGCTACCATGGGAGATAGCAGGGACAGGTAGTATATTTTGGCATAATGCAACAATGCACCTTAGCACAAGTGGAAAGAAAGAGATTGAAAACCGCAACCCCACAGTGTCTCCATGTTCTTAGTTCACTGAGAAAATATACAGAAGCCAAAACTCAAAAATATATTTGACATATAAGAAAATATATCAGGAGACGAAATTAACCTTGGCTTGAAATAAAACTTGGTTGGCACTTACTGCATTCCTGCCTGAAAAGCATAACACATCAGGTTTAACTTAAAGGCAACGGAGCAGCCTCGACTTCTTACCCAGAAGCGACATTCATCCATACCTGTTTGGCTTCCCTGAAAACTCCTAACCGTTGCGGAAGCAAATCGGAATGCAATGTCCCATACAAACCGCGACTCGCAGGGCAACCCCGCCGCGTCGCCACTCGCCCGTGGATTACAACATCGCAGCGGATAATCGTACCGTCTTCGCAAAACATATGTCGCAAACGCGTTACAAACAAGAACGCCTTCTGGGGGGCTTTTTAATCATTCTCCAGTATGGGCTGCTTATTTCGAATAACTCACCATCCAGTTAGGTTATTTTGCGAATGTCCTTAAATAATCTAGAGACTTGTAGTATTTGGTATCAATCGCAATGATCTGGCAGCAATTGGTAGCTTCACCTGTCGCGCAAGCCTTGTGCGGGGCTGCAGCTATTAGTAAACGGGCGGTGACTGGGCGATTTTGGTGCGAGGGGGAGGGTGCGTACGTGAGAAAAGAGGACATTAAGGTACATGCTGGTTCAACGGCGGTCAGTGCCCCACAACTGGGAAACCCTCGTGAAGAAGGCGAATTATCGTCAAATTGCCGTCCAGATATAGTGTGGTGGATGGTGTTCACACCGCGACGTATGGTATGCTGTGATGTGTGTTGCGTGTTGGTGGGAGATTGGAAAGGCATGGTCATTCCCTGAAATGAAAATTCTAGGACAATTAAACATGTTTTGCTCTGGGAGATGAAGGGAGTGGCACGTCATTTCTAAACGTGCTTGCTAGACTTGCAAGAATAGGGGCAGGTTGTTGGGAGGTAATGTATCATTTGTTATATCTTAATAAACTCTGCATCATGCATTGACCAGAGGCATCCTTATTGCAAAAATGACAACTGATACATATAGCTGGAGTGATGATTGGTGGTTTCCTAACACAATAAATTTCTCCCTGCCACAGGAACCTCTATGGTTTGGGAATCTGTGTGGTCAACATCTGTGGTGTTGGTGCACCATATTGGTGTTGTGCTTCAAGATATTTCTACCAGCACAGTGTCTGTTCTGAACAGCACCCAGCCACTGGTGGCAGACGCCCTTCAGCACACTCTTGGCCTGCTGTGCTCCTGGCACCCAGCAGCCAACATCTCCTTGCCGTCTGTAGGCCTGGTGGAGCTTGATGAATTCCAAACTAGTCTGCTGCTTGTGATCTTGGGTATCCTTGCCACTAATGTGGTGCTAGTCTACCTGGCCTGGTCTCTGTACGGCGAGCGGATCGTGGAGCACTTCACTGGTACTGATAGTAAGTTATTGCAAAGGTGGTAATTGCTGCTAATGTTTTAGCAACTTTGTGGGCCTGATTGACTGACCATGCTGCAGTGGCCAGTTGGTGCTGTCTTGTATGTCAAAGTGCATATTCTGTGCTGGAAAGCCATCTAAAAGACCACTTCACATTGCCATTTTCATTCCAGCTGCAGATAAACTCCAGACCACTCCACTTTACTATTTTCATTCCAGCTGCAGATAAACTCCAGACCACTCCAAATTATCATTTTCATTCCAGCTGCTG